AACTCAAGCATCACGCAATGCCTCCCTCCCCATTTTCTGTTACACCCCCCCCCCTCCTCCTCCCCCTCGCCAGTCGATCGCTGACCCATCCGCCAGCAGCGTAAAGAATTAAGCGAACCCTTCGGTCGCAGACCGCAGAGCGGCTACACCTGTGCTAACCTTCACTACGACTGATGCACGACTCCACGCACAGACTTCAGACGCTGTTATGGCGGGGCGACCCGACCATAACATCCCAAACAACGCGCCCGATACGTTGCCCAGCTCGTCTTCCTGCATCTCGGGAGCAGCTTGAATGACGATTTGCATCTTGGGCGAATTGTGATGAGGGTTGCTCTGGCAACCACCGAGGTCGCGCGCTGTGAACGCTAGCCCCAGGCCACCAGGGCTCCACGGCGCTCGGCGGTTCCGCGGCAATTAAGATTGGACGCGGCTAACCTGCATCACTCACGCCTCATGGGCCGCTAGGCGGCGCCCGCTGCACTAATTCCGCCGCGCCGGCGGCCCCCGCAAGCGCGGCGACGGCAGCATCCGCCGCGCGTCTTTGCAACGGACCTTGCAGCAGGACATGCAAAGCAGGCAGTCTTCTGGGCTGATGGATTTGCCTCGCGGGGCCCATAGGCTAGCTCACGGGGCCGGTTGCCGTTGATTCTCTGCTCTAAAAACACAATAGGATCCCCCCCCCCCCCGGCGTCATCACTCCCCCTTTTCGGGTATGTGAATCGTATGTGCTTCTGACCACATGTCCATCCGAACCATGAAATCACAATGTCCCAGGGGGGCCGGTATCCCCCCCCTCTGAGGGCCCCTTGTAAAAAAACACCATGCGGTGACATTTTTTGTTCTAACATAACACTTTTTCGCGAATCCCTTGCAAAAAAAGACTAAGTGCACACGCGCGCGTCGTCGCGCGCGCATGCCTAAATCCTTCAAAAACCGTCGGTGCCGGAAGGATTTCGCAATCGAGTTTCCAAAAAAAGATACAAAAACACAAGGTTTCGCAACACTGATTTGCTAAAAAAGTTTGCGCGCGAGCTCTTGCGAAATCTTAAGAAAACCATGGGTTTTTCAATATTTTCACAAAGTGCTACGAAACTAGCTTCGCGCGCGCATGTCGAAATCTGTCGAACGCCCTTGCGCGCGTGCCGTCGCGAGAATCCTCAACAAAAAACGGGACGAAGTGCAGACGCGCGCGTCGTCGCGCGCGTACGCCGAAAACCTTCAAAACCCATCGGTTTCGGAAGGATTTCAAAATCGTGTGTCCAAGGAACCTACAAAAACACAAAGTTTCGCAACACGGATTTTCAACAAAAGCGTGCGCGCGCGGGCTCTTGCGTCGTCGTCGTCGTTGTCGTCGTCGTCGCCGTCCTCCCTCCTTCCGCGTCGTCGTCGTCGTCGTCGCCTACGTCGTCCTCTGTCTTTCCTCGTGTTCGTCGTCGTCCTCCTCTTTGGCGTCGTGGTCGTTTCCGTCGTCGTTGTTGCCGTGGTCGTCCTTCCTCCTTCTCCTCCCTCGTCGTCGTCGTCGTCGTCCGTCGTCGGCGTCTCGTCGTCGTCCCTCCTATTTCGTCGTTGTCGTCGTCGTCGCCGTTGTCGTCGTCGTCTTCCCTCCTCCCTCGTCGTTGTCGTCGTCGGCGCCGCCGTCCTTCCTCCTTCTTCGTCGTTCGTGTCGTCGCCGTCCTCCCTCCTCCCTCGTCGTTGTCGTCGTTGTCGTCGTTGTCGCGTTCGTCGTCCTTCCTCTTCCCTCGTCGTCGTCTTCGTTGGCGACGTCGTCGTCGTCTTCGTCGTCGTCGGCGTCGGCGTCGTTGTCGTCGTCGTAGTCGTCGGAGACGTCGTCGGTGTCGTCGTAGTCGCCGTCGTCGTCGCGTCGCGTCGGCGTCGTTGACGTCGTCGTCGTCGTCGGTGTCGTCGTTGTCGTCGTCGAAGTCGTTGGAGACGTCGTCGGTGTCGTCGTAGTCGGTGTCGGCGGCGCCGTCGTCGTCGTTGTCGCTGTCGTCGTCGGTGTCGTGGCCAAGTGTCATGTGGCACGTGCCGTCACGGTCTTGTCTTAAGAGGTATTGCGACCAAGTTGCGGGTGGGAGGGTGGGATGTTTGCACGAGCAGTGGAGAGGACAGCTTCAAGACGATCGAAGACTAGTCCAGCACCCATAGAAATTGCGCCAGAAAAAGCGCACCGCCTGCGTTGGCTTCTGTAGCGATCGGGGATCGACGCGAATTCGAAGCCGCGCAGCTCGTCAGGCCCCCGCCGAACGACGCCGGCGCATAATTAATTGAGGGAGGGGGCGCGCGCCGTCAACGGCGACGGACTTGGCCTTGGCTAACTCCTCCGACGTTGGAGGGCGAGCGGGGGGCCTGGGTCTGCCGACCGTCGGGGGTTTAACCCGCCGCCATCAGCGCCGGCGCCAACGGGCGGGCGGCCCCTGGAACGCTCCCGCGATTCTGCCGAGATTGCGTTGACAGACGGCACCCTTGTAGCTGGCTCCCCCATCAGCATCCTCGGTCT